ATATATATATTGATATTGAAGTCATTAAACAATAATTTTATAATTTTACTTGTGTCATTAGAGTAATACTGGGCAAAAAGGGATATTGAAAATGATCATTTTATCCTCCACTCCTGCTAATAGAGAGTATTATTCCTGAGTAGTGGAGAAGATGGTTGGTAGGACATATATCCTAGTTAAGGTGAATGCAGAGAAGCAAGCACCATATCACACGCGTTCATCTTTCCTTTAATTCAAGGAAAAGTTTTATACAAGAGTGAGCCCTTAAACAATCAAATTTACGTACACTTAAAAAATTCATTAAGAAAGGCTGTTTCGATGCTAGAAAAATCCTCAATTCGATCATCTCGACCTCAAGATTTATGGACATGACAAAAATAGATTTCAAGTATTGAAAATAGTGTATCTTATTATGTATTATCTAAACCATCAATTTTCAAGGTTTTCAAGTATTTATAGATTTTCTCTATCTATACTATTTTTTAATTTTTATATTTAGAGATAAAATAAAATATTTAGGCCATTATAAAGATTTCTGATACTAAAACAGTATAGTTCAATACCATTTAAAGGGCGCCCTAATTTGCTTGCTTTAAGTCTCGGCCTTATACAAACCACACCCTTAGTTAAGTGTCATGTTAACATACTCCTTTGGTCTGCTTTCCTTTATTCCCATTCTACTTGGAATGGTTCAAACAAAGACTTCAGTCATACAAGTGGCATTAAAATCTAGATTTTAGCATATTTGTCAAGCAAGGTCGATACTAGTAAGTGGGTGTCTGATGTATAAATGCATCAAACTTGATTATGACATGTATACATTACTTCCTATTACACAAAATTATAAATATAACTTCACTATATTACTCAAAAAAAAATAAAAAAAAACTAATATAATTTTTTAAAAATACACTTTAACCATTTTAACATAATTAGATTGGAATATGAAATTCCAAACTGGTCATCCAGAAAAACGAAATATAAGTTTTTAGAACCAGATTGGAACTGAGTTAATATTTTTTAACCAAAAAGTAATGTAAAAAACCAACTGGATATCTGATGCAATCATTTGGAAAAATTTGCAATTTGGGTTGGAACTTGGTGTTCCGACACAAAAACTAGGAAAAAAACAAGAAAAAACCTAGTTCAAAACTCGAGGCACTTTGGAGAAAATAAAAAATTTATAAAAAATTACATAACCATAAATTTCAAAATACATGTGATATTTTTAAATACAACAAAAAAAGAGAAGGAAAAAGTAATATAATATAGGAACTTGATACTATAGAAGTAAGGTGCACCTCAAAAATCAAATAGAAAAAAGTGTTTTGGAGTTGGAAAACCTTCGAATTGATCATCTTGACGGATGTCATCATTAATTGAGCTTTAACCCAACTATTTAGGGTCTGCTACATGAACCCTATTCTCCCATTATGCTCTATTAAAGGTCACACTCTCAATCAAACTACAAGTCACCATATCTCTTATCGCTATTTTCATTCATATCCTTTTGGGCATTTCCTTGCCTTTTTAGAGCCTTCTATTTGAACCAATTCTCCCCTCCCAATTGATATTATATTAGGTCTATGATGCACATGGCCAGCAAACCTAAGTTTATTTTTCTTCATCTTATCGTATGTTGGAGCCATATCTAAGTTCCCTCGTATGAATTCATTCTATCCTTATTTATGTTGTCACTCATTCATTTCAACATCCTCATCTCTGCTACACTAATATTATGATTTATTATCTTATCGTATGTTGGAGCCATATCTAAGTTCCCTCGTATGAATTCATTTCGAATTCTATCCTTATTTATGTTGTCACTCATTCATTTCAACATCCTCATCTCTGCTACACTAATATTATGATTTATTATCTTATTGGAGATATATGGATATAAATAAAAATAAAAATAAAAGAATTCTGAAACCTAAAAATACTGCATCTTGTAACAAGTTATTAAGACAATCTACTTTTAAGATTTTTAAATATTAAAAGATCTGCTCAATATGCACTATTTTTAGAATTTTAAATTTCATAATTAAATTTGAACATGAATTTTCGAGTCATCTTAAAGTTTTCAGCATAAGAGCTAGATAGAACCTAGTGGCACCTAATAGTAGCCTCACCCAAAAGAAAAAGATATCAAAGAGAGTTTCCCTTTTATCAGCATTGCAACCTTTTTGAAGTGTATGGAACAATTGTATCTCCTTATATTTGCCTGTATGTATGGTAGAAGAGAGGGGAGCCGTTGTTACAATGACCGTTTTTGAAATCATGGTATGCAAGGATCAATTTTCAAATAAAAAGTTATTTTAGCTTTAAACTCTCTCAATGAGTAAGTCCATCAATACGGGTGAGCATATATTTTGAAATTCAATTTCACTTAAAGCATTAAAAAATTATTAACGATTTCAAAAAAAGGTAGGCGCTCGTAATCGTCATTGAATTACTCAAACTAAATAAATAAATTATATATATATATACATATATATATATATATATATATATATATATATTGGTGTGTTTTTGTTGCTCAAATCCCATAAAAATCTCTCAATCCATAAAAAAAAAGTTGTCGTTACCAGGGATTTAAAAGTTTCCCGCTCAATGTGCTACTCACGTCTAACGGCCACCCTGCCTATACAAGCGGAGGAATCTGAACTCTCTCTCTCTCTCTCTCTCTCTTCAATGAATACATATTCTATAGGAGGCAAAGTCTCTCCGCCATGGGAGGTAAATCTCTGGCATGCCTGGAGCACGCGCACAGGCCCCATCCATATTCACTCTCTCTCTCTCTTTTCCATTTTTGCACATTTCCCTCATATCACAATGCCATAAACATTCAATGCACAATGCCTCTCCTCCTCCTCCTATCTTTATTTCTATTGTTACAGAGAGGGAGAGACTGCACAATTTCACCAAACCCTAGAGAGAAAAGAGAGAAGAGAGAAGGGGTTATCCATTTGAGGCCTTAATCTCTTAAGCTCCATAACAGAAAACGGGTCCTTCCACTCTTTGATACACAGATACAGAGAAAGGCGGATTCTGCTTTCTCTTGGAAATGGATATCGCAGAAGACAGGATAAGCGAACTCCCAACAGAGATTATTCTCATGATTCTCTCTGCGCTAACGATCAGAGAGGCTGCACGGACATCCGTCCTCTCTCGCAGGTGGAGGTCTGCTTGGACCTCGACTCCTGTTCTCAATATCTGCTTGGATTCACTACAATCATTCTCATGCAACTGGGCCAATATAGTCGATTCAGTCCTCTCTCGCCATCATGGACCCATTTCCACATTTTGGCTGGATAGAATGATTTGGTGTAGTAGCGAAGATCTCAATCGGTGGCTCTCTATGCTATCCAGTCGAGTGATCGAAGATCTGGTCATTGACTTTTATGACCAATATGTGCCATACACAGTTCACCCTAGTTTCTTTTCTTGCTCAACTTTGGTATCTGTAGAATTAAGTTCATGCAGGCTCGAGATGCCCACTGATTTCAATGGATTTAGGTTTCTCAAACTTCTCTCTCTGAAAACTGTGACTCTCACTGATACTATACTTCAGGCCATAGTTTCCCAGAGTGAAAGATTGGAAGATCTGACCCTGATTGATTGCGAGGGACTGAGTAAAATCAAAATCGTGGCCTCGAACCTCTTTAATTTCCATCTATTTGGTGTATTTACTGAAGTTGATTTAAGTGGGAGTTTGAACCTCAAGGATCTTTTTATTAATTGGGATGATGATGAAAATGGGGTTTGGCCACTCAGACAGATTATCATGGGTCTCACTAAATTGGAATCTCTGAGCGTCACTGGTTTTCTTCTACATGTGAGTGCTGTTTTTGCATTATTATCATTCTTAATAATTTGCTTAGTTACTCAATTGAGTTACTGGTTTTTCTCTTTTGAGATCTTACGTATGAAATACTGCCTCGGGATGATCTTTTTGGCTTTCACTCTTAGTGTATATGTTTAGTTAGTGAACTGAGTTGCTATTTAGTTAGTGAATTGATTTAGTGTATTTGGTTTGTTAGTTGGATGAAGCTTAGATGATGATGATTTGGTTAGTCAATACTATTTTTTTTTATGATATTCATATTATGTAGGACCTGTCTAAGGATGTTTATGCTTTTATTTTCATTATTTATAATGTGTATAATTAGTGAACTGAATTGCTATTTGTTTCATTATTCAAGATCCTATTTTGTTTAGGTACTCAGGTTTGTGATTTTGCACCCTTTTCTACATGAGTAGATGTTATTCTTGCACTTTTATCATTGATGATGATTCTTTGGGTGGGTAAAATCTACTCATATCCTTTCGACGTTTTATGCAGACGTTGCATTTTTATTTTTTTAGGCAAATTGCACCACCCCCATGTTTGGGCCAAACTCATAGAAGGCCATTAGTTTTTCAAGTTTGCTTAATTGGTTAAACTAGGGTTTTAAAAATCTAGATTGGCCAGCTGAACTAGCCATCTGGAAACCTAGACCGGGCCGGCGAATTGATCCAAGATCAGCGAATTAGATTGATTCTCTAGTGAATGGGTGTAGACAATAAATATTTTTAAAAAACAAAAAAAAATTAAAATAAACAATGAAATATGAAATGTGTGGGAATAGAGTGATCCGGCCATTTCGGATCGCCATAAACGCACATGGTTCCCTAATAGAATCGGGCAATTCCAAGGGTAACAGACTGTTTCCCGATTATGACAAGTAATCGATCTGCCATGGTCAATTCTCGATTGCCAATTTTTAAACATTAGGTTGAATAGATTGCTTAATTGGTAGAACCAGTTGTTTCAAAATTTTGCAATGTATCCATCCAGATTGGGAATTGGTAGGGACTAACCTAGTTTGGAATCGGAACCCACAATCCGGTCCGATTTTGGCAGACTCATGCAGTTCCATCTGAGAGCTGTGTTTAGTAGGGAATCAAGCGATCCGGATATGGTAATTTGCTCGGTTCCCATGCATTCAATTTTTATATTTTTTATTTTTGAATTTTAATTATTTCATTTTTTGTAGGCTAATTATTTATCATAAAGAATATCTTGTTATGCATCTAGATTCTAGACTGTTCGTTTGCCGGTCCAAATCGGTAGCTGGTTCGCCCAACTGATCTGATTTTTGAAACACTGGGTTGAATGGAAAGAGAATTAAAAAGTGAGGGCTAAGAATGTGGCTTACCATTTTGCCTTTTAGTAGAACACAAATAAAAATGTAGTGGGGAACATGCTTTTATTTTTTATGCCTTCGTGAAAATGAAACTTTTTTTTGTTAACTAAACCCTAACCTCAAAAAACCTAAACCCTAAACCTTTTGTCTTATTGTTTTAAACGCACCATTGAGGCAACTTGTTAGGAGGTTCACTGAATTGGTTGTTCGGATTGAACATTAAAAATTGGAAAAGCAGACTATTTACCTTATAAATTGGTCACAATTAATCTTGACTATTGGAGAAATTGGGTGGCTGCATTTATTTTATTAACCAAGCTTAAACTTCAAAAGAAATTTTTTCGAATTTTGTGACACACCTAAGCTATCAAATTTTACATCGGATGGTTATAAGTAATTGTGACCTCCCAACACTAAAGATGAATGGTCACTATACAATCCCTTAAAAATTAATGGCTAAGATATATGTTTAACGGGTTGCCTTTGGGGGATAGAAAAGACAAGCGCAGGAATTCTATTAAAATTTTTCATTCAATCTCCAGCATGAAAACACCATCAGTTTTTTGTTTAGAAATAGAACATCAAAGTGCTTGAAAAAAAATTGATTTGGCATGCATTTTGAATATTTAGCACATTACCATCCCCTCATGTTCCACACGCATTACATCAACTTATGTATTGTGAGGTACCTAATCAATATGCCCCAAAACCCTAGTGTGATGGAAACATGGAAAGTTAGGCCCTTAAATCACTTATGATCGTAACATACTATGATGCTCTGCCCTCGACATTCCCGATGGCTCTCATCCTATGATGCCTCTCACTCTATGGAGGCTCTCACTCTCATTGTGTTTTTTCAAGTAGCTTCCATATGTTGCCTTTTCCACAAGTAGCACTTTCCTAGGATTTGAACCAGGTCGCAGTGGTTCTTTTGATAGCAAAGGTTAGGTACCAGTCCCAAAACTTTAAGGTGACGGAAACATAGAAAGTTAGGGCATTAAACCGCCTAGGATCGTAACATTTACCAGGTTCACCAAATTGATTCAACAAATTGCGAATAAGAGTTTCCAGCTAACAAGTTACATTTTGGCGGTGCACATTGAACATGCTGGAGGGGAACATGTATAAAGTTTTCATTCACATTGCCCATGTCAAAATACAAACTGTTTTTTTTTTCCCTGAAAAATGACTTTAAGACTACTTAATTTGATGCGCACTTAGATTTTTTTGCACACTGTCTTCCCATCCTCATGTTTCTATCACACCCATGAAGGAAACTCAGCTTAGCAGGTTCCATTAAATGCCTAAACAGATTAACACTTAAAACGTTACTTGCACAGGAACTGGTTTATCGGTTTAACCAGTTGCCTTTGGGGGGCTCATAACAAATATGTGGATGGGGATATGTATTAGAATTTATATTCATGACCCCGCATGAAAATACAATCTGTTTTATCTTTGAAAATTAAGAACAAAAAGAAATTCAGACAACTTGATTTCACATGAATTTGAATTTTAATGTACACTGCCATGAGCACCACATTTTTTCAGTGCACTCATGAAGGCAACCTGCTTATAAAGTTGTTTAATTTGCTAAACAGGTTGAAAAGTAATCATCTTAAGGCATACAATAAATATGGAATGGGGATATTGTATTTAAAATTTATTCATGAGGTCCATGTAAAAACAATATGTTTTCCTTTCAGAAAATGAGACATAAAAAGTATTTTACTCTATTTGACATGCATTTTGAATTCTAATACAAGTTGCTATCACAGGCACACTCAGTAAGGCAAACTGTTTAGCAGATTCACCTAATTGGTTGAATAAATTGAAAATTAAAAGTTGCAAGCTGAGAAATCAAATTTACAAGTTGGATTTTGGGGTGGAACAATAAACATGTGGAGGGTAATGAGAATAAAATTTTATGCAGGCAACTACATGAAAATACTATTTTAATTTCTGAAAAAAAAAAAAAAAAAAAAAAAACTGTTCTTGCCACTACTTGTTTTGAAAGGCATTTTGAGTTTTCTCCACATTGCTATCCTCTCCAGTTACAGGCCCACCCATTATGGAAGCTTGTTCAGGAGGTTCCATTAATTGGTTGAACAGATTGTGAATTAAAGATTCGTTGCTAAGGAATCAGTTTAACTGGTTGGTTTAGGGGCTCATAATAAACATGCAGGCAGGAAACATGTATTAAAAGTAAAAGTAAATCCTATTAAAATACTGCATTGACATCTACACAGAATTAAAACCTGTTGTATTTTTTGAAAGCTGAGAACAATAAAGAATTCAGACAACTTGATTTGACATGCACTTTGAATTTTTATACACATTTGTTATCGCCTCATGTCTCATGCATACCCATAAAGGCATCTTTTTAGCAATTTCATTTAATTTTTTTGAAAAGATTGCTTATTGAAAGTTACCATCTAAGATATCAATTAGACAGGTTTCCTTTTGGTGGCACACAATAGACTTTTTCTGATAATTTTTTTTTTCTTGAGGCCTTAATGAGAAAAAGGTCTATTTTCTTTTTCATAAAGTGAAAACGAAATGGTAATTAGAACCACTTGATTTAGCATGCTTTATGATTTTTCATTTTGTACATTGCTATCCCTTGTTCATGTTTTGGGTGCCCATTAGAACAACTTGTTCAGCAATTTCACCTAATTGATCAAAGAAATTGCGAATTAAATGTTATCAACCTAGATATCACTTTACGATTGCATTTTTTGGTAGTGTTAGAAATATGGAAGCAGAATGGGCTAAAAAATAGTTTACTATTATGAAAACAAGTGGGGTTACAAGGGATCAATATGGTCTTTAAAGACCACAAGTATATTTTGAACTCTATTTTTTTTTTACTATTCTCTCCCACGTACGGAGCTTAGAAGACTTTTTCTATTTTACACAAATGGATGGGGACAGCTTCTTGGGAACCTCTCTCCTTCATACGAGTAGATTGATACAACATACCTTCAAGCCCCCTTTTTATAGGCTTATTTATGACGATGGAGAGAATACTAGATTGGCGGTGAGAGAATGAAGGACGGTGGAGAGATGGAGAGGAGTGTAGAATTTTCTAGAGAGAGAGATAGACAAATTATACAATTTAACATCCCCTCTTAATTTGTCACTTTCATTTTTTCGTAGATTTCATAAATTTATCTGTTGATAGCACTTTCCAAAAATATCTGCAAGCTGGTCATTTGTGCAAATAAACTTGAGCTCGATCTCCCCTTTCTCGACCAAGTCTCTAATGAAGTGGTGACGAAACTCTATATGCTTTGTCCTGGTATGAAATACTGGATTCTTCGTCATAGCAATAGCTGACATGTTATCACAATAAATTGTTGTTCGATCCTTTTTCTCATGATGTAAGTTATATAGAATTCCTCTCAACAAATCAGCTTCACACGCAGTGCTAGTGGCTGAAATATATTCCGCTTCTGCAGATGATAGGGCAACCATTTTTTGCTTCCTTGATGACCAAGATGTAACTTTAGATCCCAAGCATAATACATATCTTGAAGTGCTTTTTCGATCATCGAATGATCCAGCCCAATCGACTATCTGTGTAGTCAACCAGGCTGTTGTCTTTTTCTGTAGTATACTTGAGACCAAAGCTCTTAGTTCCTTGAAC